AAGTCATTTAGAATGGTTTTAGAGCATAAACAGTAGTGTATAGGATTTTCTAAAAGCGCGTTCACGAGTCTACGGAAACCGCGGCAGACCAAACCAGACGAAAGTGCGCATTCAGCTCGGCAAAGAACTCGTGCTCTTCCTCAACACTGAAGTACGCTTGCATTATCGGCAGAGCAGACGCTGAATGTGCACTTTCATCTGGTTTGGTCTGCCGCGGTTTCCGTAGCGTCGTGAACTCGCAGGCGCATGCTTTTAGGAAATCCTATACACTACTGTTTTCCCTAAATTTTCACCTTATGATAAATGTTTACATTATTTATTGGCTGCATCTAAAAATATAAAAGATATTTTCAATTTAAACATAGACAAGAAATAATACAATATAACCTACAATAATTTAAATGATATCATTGTTCTAGGTCATTAAATCAGTTCAGTTTAATCTGTAAAATAAGCTGCCTGTAGTGTCTCTAAATGTCCAGCAGGTGTCAGTATTCTGTGAGACAGAATCAATGCAGCATCACTAGTTTGGCCTCCAGATGCCTCATTAAAACATGACTAGCAGCAGGAAAAAAGCAGAACATGCAGAACCTTCATTTCTCTTCATCCAGTTCGAGTTGAAAATAGTAATGTGCATTTTCCTATTCTCTAGCTTTTTCTCCGCCTCGAGCTTCTTTCCCAAACAATGCTTTATGACCAACTGCAAGCAGTTCCAAGCACACTAATCGCAATATAATATATCTGACGAAATTGTCTTTATAAACATTTTTTTTTAAATAAAGCATTTCAAATGCCCGTTTAATCACATTTAATTAGTGCCAATTAAGGCCTTAATTTACACCATCTAGCTAGCTAGCTCTATCCATCCATCCATCCATCCATCCATCCATCCATCCATCCATCCATCCATCCATCCATCCATCCATCCATCCATCTAAATCTAGCTATCTATCTAGATAGTAATGATGAACACGGTGAAATCATCTCTTTACCGTCGACAGGCTGCAGCTATGTCCCGAATTCCTCGTTTTCCATCCACTTTTATTGTAATGTGCATTTTCCTATTCTCTAGCTTTTTCTCCGCCTCGAGCTTCTTTTCCAAACAATGCTTTATGACCAACTGCAAGCAGTTCCAAGCAAACTAATCGCGAAATAATATATCTGACGAAATTGTCTTTATAAACATTTTTTTTAAATAAA